CATTAACTCACAATGGAAACTATCTTAGCACGACTACAGAAGCTAATATGTGAAGTCTGGGGTTGGGATTCAGCCAATCAGCACAAAGGAAAATAAATGGCGCTTCTAAACTTGCTATTTTTCAGATGCCAGTCAGTAGTGTGTCTAGTAGCACTGCATTTTTTTGTATTTCAGCTTCTTAACTCTTTAGGATATTTTAGATGAGCTCTGCAAAAAAAAAAAAAATTGGAATTGGGATATTTTCCACAAATAATTTAAAGTTAAGTTCCACATAAAAATACTGAACTGTGAATATACTGGCCTTAATTTGCATTTTGGATGTTTGATGCTTAATTATATTCATAGAAACAACTCTTTTCTGCTGTAGCTTCTTAAAGTTTTGAATCTTCTCTCAGTAACAACTGCCATTAAAGACTTTTTTTTCCCCCCCAGGACAAACTAATAACGTTAAAAAAACAGAAATAAAATCTGTTTTGCTTTTTTACTGGACACTCTGGTCAGCCTGAAAGTCGGTCACTTCAAGTCACCTTCTGGTTTAATTTTAGAGCATCCCTGAAGCTATCTTGCAGTAATTACTTGCATTTGGTCATGTTTCTATTAACATTTATGAATCCTTGTTTTATCATTGCAGTATTTTTTTTTTATTTAGTTGTCAAAATGCAGACAATCAAAATACTTTTTTTAGGGTTTACTGACTTTTTTCCATGACTTTTAATTATAACCAAAACATTTTTTGTCTTTTGGAGTGCCAGGTAAATGCAACAACAATAGAAATCGATAAAAAATATTACTTGTTGCTTAAGCGAAAGATTTTATTTCAGTGAAATCTTTCCAAAGGAGAATAATGTTAGTTTTGCCTTCCTTTAAGACTTTATAGGTGTGAGAGGAAACCAGCAGGACCACTCTCTGGGTGTTGCATCTGTCTCCCAGGTAGCAGCTCAACAAAACAAGGCCTTGCACATTACCATCACGATTCACACCTGTCAAAATTAAAGGAGCGAGACGGCAATAGAAAAGAGAGGGAGCGAGATTGTTGGCTATACCAGCGAGGCATGCTTCGCTCAAGGCTACATCTCTCTTTCAGCTCGCTGGTCTCGCTCTCTGTTACTCAGCAGCAAGAAGTAAAGAAGAAAGGTGTGACTAAGAGCTCACCACATTGAAACTCTTTTCTCCTCTCCCTAAAGAAAAACAGTTGTCCAGGCATGAAAGTACAGCGGGTTAAGGAGACACAAGGGTACACACGAAAGGGCAGTCTGCAACAAAAAAAGCAGAGGATAATGTTGAAACCTGTTTTGGCTCTGGGGAATGTGAAAAGATTAAATTTTTGTGCAGAGAAAATGATTAAAACATAATATTGTGAAACCTAGTTGGTTGCTGTGTTTTGGTTTTTCTTCCATCTTTATTATAATCTATTAAAAAAAGAGAATAAAATTTTCCTAAGATGTCTTTTTGTAAAAAAAAACAAAAACAAAAAAAAAAAACGGTTGCATTAATGCGCATAAATTACCTATTTTACTTTGTTGACATTTTGTATCTGTTTTGCACCAAGAGAGACAAGTTGTGGCCAATAGAGTTATGCTACTGTAGCCAAAGGCGTTATTATTATCATCATTATAAGGCGTAATTATCCTGTAAGGCCAAGTCACTTTACTGTATATGTATTTTCTACATAAGCTGTGATCATTTAAATGTCAAGGTTCTCTAACTGGTTTCCCCTTAGGGCTCAAATCATGTCAGAATATTTGTATGAAACACTTTGGTTTAAAAAAAAACGTGCAGCTAGGTTGGATAAATTAAAAAATGTAGAAATTACTCAGGTGTATGTGCATAAAACAGACTATTTGAAATAAGTTAGAAAAACTACAAGCTTTTTAACATTTATTGAGTTTGTTTGGCGCAAACTAAATAATAAATAATGGTTTTAAATAATCAAGTCTGCTGGGAGGAATAATCTTCTATAACGCTCCTTTGTTCACCAAGGATGGAGCAGGAAAGGAGCTCTCCATTATGCCAACTGGCGTCAGAGGATTTGAGAAAGGAAAGACCAAAGTTGGCTCATGCCGAGACTATAACCTCATTAAACCAGGTCACAGTGCTCCAAGTTACTTGTTTTATTGCTCTTAGCGGTGCAGCTGCATTACGCATCTCCTGCTGCGGATATAATTAAAAGGAAGCAGCTGAAATGAGCCATCCATGATCTTCACAACAGTAAATACAGTGCCATGATGACCAGGCTCTTTGCCAACAAAGATGCACCTGAGCTGGGTTTCCCAGCTGGGACAAGCACACATGCCTCTAATTTGCACAGATAGGCTGGTCGCTGGGAGACAGAGTGCAAGTTGTGAATTTTTAGTATGCCGTTTAAATGCTAAATATATCTTGTATTGTATTCAGTGATGAGAAGTATAAAGAGGATCTTATAAAATCGAAAATGCAATCTTATAAGAGTTGCAGTGACAAATAACTACTTCAGGCTTCAGAGCCTTGGTTTGGTCGCCTCACTTTAGTGAAAATCACATTTTGAATTTTGTGCGCATGATTCCTTTGACTGTGTGATTTTTACATTTCACTGTCCCATGTTAAACTTTTGGTTTTGTGTAGCGCTGTGCCCAAGAGCATTATTGTTTATTAATACTGCATTTCTAGCCAGTTTTTCAAAATAAAAGAAGCAGAATAATACATTTTATTCTAATGGAGACTAATCAAGGACCTTAAAATGACTTGGTGTGGATGTAGGTGTGAAATGGCCAGAGTGGTATTAGGAAGGGAGCCAATTCATTTGGGATACCCCAAGGTTTAATCCTGGGACTCCTACTACTTAATATAGTCCTTTTGGCTGAGATTATAACAAGTAATACAATCATTCATCATAACAGATGAAATACAGCCTACATTACAATGTTACCATGTGACACTGAACCCGTCCAAGCACTGAACAAATGTTTGAAACAAATCAGTGTGTATGGATGTTAAAACTTTATCCAAAACTGAAGTTATGAAGATTTATACATGATTCCTACCAGGAGATATGCGATTCAGACTTACATTTTCCCGCAGTCAGCAATGGGATTTCTTTTATTGCGAAGGTTTGGAGAGATCAGCCATGATTATGTTTGTACAATGAGAAAACGTTTCTTTTAGAGTGGTTTAACTGATGCTGGTACTTACAATTACTTGGCAAAGATTGCACAAAAGAAGGAAGTTGGTTTTCTCAGTAAAGGTTTTGTCAAACCTGGGACTTCTTTAACACAGATGATTAAACTCTTTCCATGGGGTGTGTCCGTTAAGTGTCTGGCTAGTGACAAGCACTCCCAGGTGGGGTTGCACACTCAGAAAGACAAAGGTGTAATATACCGGCGATTTTGTCCACCCCCCATCTCATCTGTCATCTCAGCCTTTCACCAGGGGCTGTTTTCATTTCTGGATACTCACTCTCAAATACCGATGTTGAATGGAAACATTTCTCAGCCTAAAGGCTTTGTGGTTGCTCAGCTGCCCTCCTGCTCATCCAAATCCTCACGTCTATAATAAAATAGATTAAAATAGCCTGGAAAGTAGTAGCATTAGGATATACATCCCTGTCCATACTTGTAGGTAAGTCACCGTGGGCGTTTTGGTGGGGATTTTACTGGGTTGGACGCTTCAATTTATCACAGTGCCCACTCATTTAGGAAGCACCTGCAAAAGCTAGCTCTGTGGGTAAATCCTCTGTGTCAGTCTGGTTCCCTTGGAGGAGGTAAGTCATGAAGTTCAAGTTTGATCAGGTGTGTTTTCCATTTAACCTGAACTCAGAGAATGAGTTGAATCTTAGGGATAGTCCTGTGTTCAAAACAAGGGAAAAAATTATACTTATTGCCATCACCACCTGGCTGCCTTGCCCTTTTGTTTCAACTGACACAATGCCATTGGAAAATAACACTCCTATTACCTTAAGTCGCTTTTGACGATGTAGCATACACTATTTGTTTAGCAAATAAGCCTAATTTCTTGGGGAAATTTTTGGACATGTTGACAAATGAACATATTAACAATTCTGCAGACCACACACATCCTGGACGCTAACTGTTCACGTTTTAACCTCCAGGTTAAAGTGCTACAGAGCGTGGTTTGCAGAAACCAGCCACCACAGAAAGCTTTAAAAAGGGAAATATTTGGTGTACACACTGCAAAAACACAAAATCTAGACCAAAAGTTTACTAGAAACTTTTGGTCTAGTTTCTAGTAAGACAAAATTAACAGTGACGCGTTAGTTGACGGGTTGTGAACAAGACTGGCAAGTGCCATGATTTACCGAATGACACATTATCACAACAGTGATAATGAATATTCATGCCTTACTCATGTTCATGACAGGTGTTATATCATGTTTATGACAGTGTCATGACAGTCTCATTCATGACCCATCAAATAAAGTGTTACCAAATTAACTTAAACATAACTTTTCACAAATAAATACATCTGCCAGTGAAAAAATAAAAAATTTCCCATATTATAAGTTAAGATGTCTTCTTCCATTGGCAGATTATTTCACTAATAACTAGTGCTTTTCCATAAATATTTAGGAATGTTTTACTTAAAATGAGCTAACAATAATATAGTTTAGTGTTGTCAAATTTCATTACATTTTCCCCAAGTTTTAAATGAAATAATCTGCTGATGGGATTGGAACTTTTTCTTGGATATTAAGTAATTATTGACTTAAAGCAAGTTTCTATATCTTGCTGAAAGGTTTCTGAAAGATAGTTTTGTCTGATTTGAAGTGTATTAAGATATTTTCTCCAGAATCTAGACCAAAATACTTGGTACGTTTTTGTGTTTTTGCAATGCATGATCCTTGGAAATAAAAACTCACAATCTCCAGACCAAGACCTTGTTTCTGGTTACTGAACTGGAAACACAGTAAATAATAACAACCTTTGTCGCATTAAATTGGTGCACCTGACTATGGAAAACTTAATAAAACCTTTTTTTTTCTTCTTTTCTCTGCAAATCTCTCTCAGCTCCTGGAATATGTTGGCAAAGGAAAGAGCATCATGGACGTTGGTTTGGCTCAGGCCCGCCAGCCGCTCTCCACCCGCTGCCACTACTATGAAGTGGAGATAGTTGATGCTGGGGAGAAGTGCTACATCGCCTTGGGCTTGGCAAGAAGGGTGAGCTGTCAAAGTAAATGCTTGGATAACTTCAGACACACCTGTGCTCAGAGGGGTACTCTCCGTACTCTCCTTTTCTTTAGCATTTGGCCATAACATTTTATTTCTACTTAGTGCAATAGAGTGACAACAGTGTAGCTAAGCGGAGGTTAGTTATGTAGATTTCTTCTTCCAACACTATAAAGTCTTCCTCAGACTCCGTTGTAGGAAATTTTTGCTTTCCATTTCTCAGAAATGGAAAGCAATTCTCTCCTTTCACATAAATAACAAGCTGATTTGATGGAGACAAGATGTTGATCATAAAACCTTTTTGCACTGAGGGCCAAAATCAGCACATTGAAAATACTCATAAAGCCTTATTCCTTATTTAAGTTAGTTTCTTTTTACAACTGCAAAATAATTTCAAATATTCTGATAAACAGAAAATGACAAATTATTGTAGGTGGGATAGCATTGAAGATGTTTACCTTAATACAAAGAAAGCTGCACTATTTCCTTACTTCTTTGGTTGAATATTTTGCTGGTCTTCACTGCAAAGACACAAAAGTTGTTTTAGTCCAAATATTTGAGTATACTTGAAGTAAGACAAAAAGTTATTTTTCAGCAATATATATTGCTTTATGTAAATGATTTCTTAATGTTGTTTCAACAAAAATACTAGATTCTTTTAGTTGTAGCCCAGAAAAAATGTCTTGTTTTAAGTGAAACAATTCGCTGAAGTATCTGGTACTTTCAACCAATATTAAAAACTTTTGACTTAAAACAAGCTCATATTTCTTGCTGGAAAGTTACTTGTAATTTGGTTTTGTCTTACTTCAAATGTTCTAAAATGTACACAAAAATAATTGGTAAGATTTTCTGTTTTCTGTGCAAAAATGACTGACATTTGCAGACATGAGGTCTGATGAGACAGAAATTGAACTCTTAGGTGTGGTGGTAAAGAGCAACTTCATTACATGCATATCGATATGCTATTTATGCTTTTTTTTAAAATCAAAACCACCAAGGCAACTACCCTTACAACCCAAAAGCATTATGCTGCCACCACCATACTTCACTGTAGAGATGGCTTTGACTTGGTGATGAGCTCTGCCTGATTTCTCAAACTTTTCATCTTATACATAATGAAATTAAACGAGATGAGTGCTTCTTATTAAAATATCTAGAATGTTGTAAAAAAAAAAAAAAGCAAAAATATTTCGAGACCTGAGTCTTTATTTATATATCTCGACTGAAAGCACTTAGTCTTAAAGTGAAGAATGCTTAGAAGCTGATAACTCGGACAAACAAACTGTGCCAATAGTAAACATTGATGTGAATAAGCAGCCACTTGAATTAAAGGAACAGTTCACTCTTTCTTAGAAGTCAGGCCAGACGTCTTTGTGTTTGATTCAAAGTCAAAGCTGCATAATTTCTACAAAGTTACCCAATTAATCACAGAAATGTCACTTTTTGTCATGTTCACAAATAACTTCTTTGTTCTTTGAAAGCTAAACATACACATTCACTCCTTGTATTTTAATGTTTACTTTAGGTTACCTGCAGCCATTCCTTCGAGCTCAGAGTTCAGCACTATTTTACTTTATTAATTCTCGTGGTCCTTTTCCTGCTGCATCTGGCTTCTATTATAAAGCCATCAAGGAAAAGTGGCGTGAAAGTTGCAAGACGGTTTCCAGGTTTTCCATGTAATCCGTTTCACACAGCATGCAAACAATACAGGCTGGAATATTAACACAAATCACTTTCCATTTAACCAGGAACTCCCTGCCGCTGTTTCTGCTGGACATGTTGACTTAAGGCTTTTTTTTCTCCCCCTTTTTTTATTTTGCTGGTTAACTTTCTGAATAGACATGGCCAGCTCAGCCTGTGGAAATATTGCAACAAAAGTTGACAGATAAATTTGTATCACACATTCATGTAGGAGTCATAGCAAACTCCAAACGATCCAGATTTTCCTACCAACTCCCCTGCACCCCTCACACCATTATCTTGTCAAATTGACAAATACCTGCTAACCTGAAGCCAGTTTCACTCATTAAGTCAAACAATGCCTATCCCAGTCCTCCACCCCAAAGCCTAATTACTCATGGACTCAACTGACAGCTCAAATGGCTTTGGTATGGTAAGGAGGAATTGGAAATAATTCAATGACCTGCCTTTCAAAAAAAACACCCTCTTCCATTTTATTTTCATATCTCCAGTTGCAATAAACTACATCCTAATGCTTTCTATGATTTGGCAGTGGGAATACCCTGAGCCCTCACATCCACAGCTTGGCGTTTGCTCACGCAGAAGTTCAGATTTCATCCAGATCTTGTTGAGAAGCAGCAGGAAGGCCCCGCTCTCCGCTATAAATAAATACCTCTTTGACACCTGTGTGAGAGCGAGGCTGCACATGAGGCAGAACAGGAAGATGAAGTGCCATGTGGAAATGGGTTTTGTTTACGCCACGTTAAGCGTTTCAAATGAGGCTGCAGACTTGGCACTGAGGTCACACTTGTTCAGCTGAAAGCAGATGTTTACATACACTTCCTCAGAATTTAGTAGCATTTAGTTAAACACAAAATCTCACCAAGTATTTTAGTCTAGTTTCTAGTGCAAATATCTTGGCTTTCTCTTATTTCAAGTGTACTAACTTAAAAGTTACTTTTCAGCAGTATATTGGAGCTTGTTTTAAGTCAAAAATTCCTTAGCATTGATGAAAAGGTACTTGTTCCATTGGCAGAGTAGGCTATTTCATTTTTAACAATATATTTTTCCGTTGTTACAAGTGAAATAATCCACCAGTGGAACTAATATTTTTTCATAAACATTAAGGAATTATTGACTTAATAGAAACGCCTATGTTTTATTTAAAAAGTTACTTTTGTCTCATTACAAGTATATTAAGATATTTAAACTAGATACTAACCCAACAAACTATACTACAATCCAGGAGCGCCATTTGCTTTTTTTGGGCACTGATTGACTGGAAAACTGTTGACGTTAGTAGTTCTTGGTACCACAGGATGGAAGGGATTGTTCAAAGAGTGGGTTGGTTTGACACAGAGGAGTGTGAAACAGAACCGCAGCAGCTGAAAATTTAACAAATATTGGAATTTTGGTCTCCAATTGAATTAGGTGTACTGGAATATTCGGTGCAAAAACATCCTGAGTGTTTCTTTCCTCTGCACCAGCAAAGACATGGTAATATGATGACATTGGCTGCACCAAAGTGCAACAAATAAGCAGTAGGCATGTCACAATGAGCAATAAATCCATTAATTGCACAATAAATTATAACAAGCTCAATAATTTCCATTTTCGCAATTTGTCAATTTTCAGTTTTCTCTCTTTCTACCAAAAACTGGATGATGAAAGTCTTTAGTCTGGTGCTTTGGTCTCTAATAGCCTGTTTTTGAATGGCAGTGTTGTTTACCGAGACTTCATAATGTATTTAATTTGGTGTTAGGTTTATTTAGTTTGGATATTGTCATGGAAAAGATTACAATAAGGTCACATCTGCTCGTCATGTCATATGAAATCTTAGTGAACTCTATCCTAAAGAACTATTTGGGTTACATGTACGAGGTTGAAAGCAACTGCGTCAGAATCAGACCGTCTTGTTCCTTGTGATTAATTCCTTATCATGGTATAAAACTCGTGTTAGCTCTGCCCGGCAGAGCTTGGCATCCAGACTTGCTTCATTACTGATTGTTTTATGAGCTCTCTGTATTGTGCACAATATATGAATAAACCTGATTGAATGATTCTATCTGAAATGTCTTTCAGTTCCAGTTAAATGGTCAGTAGCATTAGAAGTTTATTGATCTTTGACAATATGTTCTTGCATTATTATGCCATTATTACCATTATATTGCTTTAAAATGGTCTCAAAACAACAATATTGGCATTTATCGTAATAACTTCTCAATCCTCAGGATTGAGATAACTTTTTTAAAGCATTACAACAACGAGAAACATTGGTAGTATCCTTAGCATGAAGTTTGCTTTCATGTTTTCAACTGAGAGTACTCAGTGTTTGGACATGATGTTGTGTTTGAGCAATAGTTTGGATAAAATTACACAGCCTAATCTTCCCTATGATCATTATCAGCAATCCTGTCAGCAGCAGAGCAAATTAAGTAAGTTGTCTGTTTTTCTTTTTCCGCCCTACATCCATAAAACTTTAGGGAAACGCCAACACAGATGCTTACAGATCAGAGAGTCATTGTTGTGCTGTGGGGGCCTGGAGGTTTCAGCCCGATGACATGAGGCTAAACAAACAGACCTGCATTAGTTCTCCGCATGGTCCCTGCCCAACCCCTATAAGTCTGGCACGTACAAACAGAACCCACTGCTTCACCCTCCCATATAGTGTTCCTTCAGCACACACACAACATACTCTCACGTCTGTGGTAATACCTGGCTTAAGCTTTATATTTAGACCCCTCTGTGATATGTCAGTGTGATAGCTGCAGTTGATGATTTGTATCTCCTTTCACATGGTTTTCCTCTCAGCCCGCACCTTCACTGTCACAGGTTTTTCCCCTCGACCTGTTTACTCTTCCACAGAGTGGAAAGCTCAGATTCCACCTTGATGGGATGACCTGATATTGGTGGTCCTGCTCCACCAAGCTGTGGACGCCACCCAGGACTGCCATTTTTTTTTTTTTTTTGTATTTCTGCTAGCAAACAGGTGTCGGACTGGTGTCGGATAAATCATCTCCAGAACAAAAGCCAAAGCCTATGGGACAGTGTCATTATCCCTCGTGAGACGTGTTCTGTACCTACATGTCCCGAAAGGCCAGGTTACGCTTTCCAAATGCACACAGAGGAAAAAAACTTCATTTCTGGAGACATTTCCTTTACTTTGATGAAACTAAAGTGGAATTGTTTGGACATAACGACCATTGTTACATTTGGAGGAAAAACAAGGATCCTTCTATCATCCAAACTGTGATGCATGGTGGTGGCAGCATCTTATTGTGAGGCTGTTTTGCTCAAGGAGGAACTGGTGCACTTCATAAAATAGATGACACCATGAAGGAAGAACATTATGTGTAAATATTGAAGCAACATCTAAAGGAAGATTGGTCTTCCAAATGGACAACAACCCTCAGCTTCTGGCCAAAGTGGTTAAAAAGAGGCTTAAGGACAATAAAGCCAATGTTCTGGTGTGGCCATCACAAAGCCTTGTGGGAAATCGGAAAAGGTGTGTGTAAACGAGGCGGCCTACAAACCTGACCCAGCTCCACCGGTTCTGTCAGGAGGAATAGTCCAGAACTCCAGGAAACTATTGTGAGAAAGTTGTTGAAGAAAACCCAAAACATTTTATCCAATTCATATATTTGCTGAGGAGGTGTATGTAAACTTCTAAATCTGTAACATCTTCCTCTCATTTTTATGGCTTTTGGTAAATGGAAATAATTTTGGTGAATCTAAGTGACCTAAAGCAAGATTAAATTTCAAGTATTGAGAAAAAAAAGTGGATGTGTCTTTTTGTTCTGTTTATTTAAACTTTGGTTGTGTTGTTTGTTTTTTCTGCACCTATAGAGAGTTCTTATTTAATGTATAAAGCACACCAACACAGTAAAAGTGATGTTCACAACAGTTACTACAATGATGGAGATGAAAATAGACATTTAATAGCTGGTTAGAGTTCTGTGGTCTGAACAGAATCATCATCGGATTTTCTAAACTTTTTTTTTTAGTTTTTCTCAAGCCATTTCTCCAAATTGCACATCATATTGGTGTCTCAATCAGGAGGCAAACTCTTGAGACGTTGCTCTTCTCCACATGGAGATGCAACCCACATGTCAGCGAGCTGGAGGAATCGTCGGGCTTGTGGTTTAGAAGCAGCAGACTTGGTGGATGAAGAGGTTTCAGGTTTGCAGCTGCATTCCTGTGTCTTCTTGTCTTTGTCTACTGATGTCTTACTCTGTCCTCTGTCTTTCTTTCTTTCTTTTTCTCTTTGCATTTCCATTTCTTAACAGATTCCCTGCTGTGTTGTCAGATAAGATCTATGATGTTCCCTTGAAATGTTGGCAGTCTTAATTGTAGTTATTTAGTCACTCTTTTGGTGAATATCCATCCCAACACAAGTGCTAATAATAAAAATGTAATCTGCTTTCTTTGGTTTTGAGAAATTAGTCTGACTTCTCCAGCTTTTCCGGATGTTTGGTTAATTATTTTTCTTCCCTTTGGCCATCCACTGGGTCTGACTTATCATAACACAGAAATGAAAGGTCTTTTGTTGACCTCCTCTTTCTGCTAATAATAAAATAAGTGCAGTAGAGTTTACACAACAGTGAGAACAGAATGGAAAAAAGTAAGTAATCATTTCGAAAAAAGGGCCAAATGGAAGATGAAAGATCCTGAAGTCATTGCCCCGTTAATCTTTCCTCTTGTTCAGTGGTGTGTTTTTACAATAATAGAGGTGCAGCCTAGAAAACAGATAAAAATCGCTGGTAATTACCTCTGAGTCATCCCTTGATCTTATCCGCAAGTGGGCCGATGGTTATTTCTCTTAGGACAGAAGAAGCACTTATCCTGCATCTATCTGATGATGGAAACAGAGCAAGGCGATCTTGAGAGTCGGAGTAGCTACAGACCGAAATCAGTTTCCAAATGGTGAAGATGGTGTCCAACATCATTCCTCGAGGAGCATCTGCATCGACAAATTTTAGATGTTTAACATCTGAATTACATAAATTAAGTCAAGTTTATTTGCAATTCATATTTCAGCGTCAAGGCAATTAAAAGTGATTCACATCATAAAAACATCATTCAATCATAATTTATGAGACAAGCAATAAACAATACATTTCGTAAATGTTGTCATCCAAATCACCTAGAAAATATATATCAAATGTATTTATTAATGTTTCAGTTGCTATGAATCAAATTCAACTCGAAACAAGTAGGTTATTAGTCTTGATCTGAAGAAAGTCAGTGTTTCGGCTGTTTTTCAGTTTACTGGAAGTTAATCCAGATTAGTGAAGCTTAAAAACTGAAAGCTGCTTCTCCATGTTTGGTTCTGGGGATGTAGAGTTGACCAGAGCAAGAAGTTGATACAACCTTGAGGACATTAGTCCTTTAATCCTGGAAATGACCTTCAGGTGATAGAAGGCTGACTTTATAACTGTCTTTATGTGGCTATGAATGCTGAGAGTTAATAGTTTCAAACCCATAATCCCTTTGTCTATCAGACTGTCAGTAGATTACAGAAAAAGCAGGCATCAGATGTATTGATACAAGGATGATTTGAAATGGTGAAGGAGCCAAATGTCTGGCGCTCTTATGTCTTCTGAAGGTACAGAATCCTATAGCGACAATTTCTTTTGTTTTTCATTCAGGATTATCCCAAGAACAGACACCCTGGGTGGAGCCGAGGGTCCGTCGCCTATCATGCAGGTGAGACTTTCTCATGATTTAAGAGAAATTAATGAAGGATGCTTTTAGACTTTTTGCTGCCACCCAACCACAAATAAAAAATAAATTAGGACAAAACTACAACTTCTAAATCACAAGCTACTAACAAAACACAAAGGGATAATCCCTTCCAAGCTTTCTAGTTTACTGTTTACGTTGATGGTAAATAGAATCGGATCGACTCATTGACACCTATGTGCAGGCAAATATGTTTTTAGTTGCTGGAGTAAAACTTGGCTAAATACAGCAAGTGTTTTCAATTGAACACTGACCTTGTTTTCATCAAAAATGGCTTACATAGTTATTTTAAGAAGGTATCCAAAGACAATGAGAAATTTTGAATTTATCATCCCGTACCTCCACAAAAAACATATTAAAATAGACCATGCTTAGTTTGTTGTCAAGTAGGTAAAATAATAAGTTAAAAAACACATTTTTGGTGATTTTAGTTTTGAAATATTTTTTTGAGTACTTTCGAGGCAATAATTTTGGCCCACATGACAGAAGCTCCATTCACACTGCAGCCGGAAGTGACCCAAATCAGATTTTTTTTTTTTCCTTAATGCGACCCGTATCTGACCTTTCATGACACCCTGAACAACACAAATCAGGTTTTTTTTAAGGTTACATGTTAGATATGTGGTCCGTATCTAATACATGTCTCATCTTTTCAAATGTCAAAAGAGAAGCCAGGTCACATTCATCCGATCTCAACGTCATAGATACCCGACAAACGTCCCTATTCTGCCCCCCCTGATACACGCAGGCGGGGAAAAAACAGCCATGGCGGACCATAAAGGATTAAGTCGTTAATGTTCTGGTCCTTGTCGGACACAAGCTACGCTCCTCTATTAGCATCCACATTTACTTCTGCAATTGTAAGCACTTCTTCTTATTCTTCTTTTCTCAATGGCGGTTGGTAATACTTTGAGCATGCTCTCTAAGTGTGACTTTATTGCGCCGTATACTGCACATGCGAGACATTTTTAGCTTGTTTGCTGTTCACACAGGAAATTGCATACAAAAAATTCATATATATATATCACAAAAAAAAAAAGAAATTAAAGGCTGCAGTGTGAATGTAGCCAAAATGTTAGCACACAAATGCTTTCGATGGAAACCTATCAATGAACAACTTCACAGGAATGTTGAGGTCTCTAACACAAACAGCTGAAGAGAAAATAGAAAAGATATTGTCAGGTTGAGATGGTGATCATATCGGCGAAAGCTTGGAGTAAATAAAACCCGCCGTGAGTCATCTGTATTGTCAGAGTTTGTTTCCTGCAGATCGTTGAAGATTATCTCTGTAGGGATCTGAATAAAACATCCACAGCTTCCCATCCCAGGCTTCAGCACTCTTCACTATCTGAGCTGTGAGATGAGCTGCCCTGATACGGAAGCACCTCATAGACGGTTGTTATTATTCTGAACAAGATACCATTTATCTCACAATCAAAGGTGGGTAGAAAACCCAAAAATTATACTCAAGTAAGAGAATTACTACTTCAACATATTTGTACTCAAGTAAAAGTAAGAAGTCGCCATCCAAGATAATAAAACAAGTATTTAAGTAAAAAGTTTACTCAAGTTTTGAGTAAACTTTCATTTAATATTTAAAAATTACATAAGCTGACGGATCTAAATATAGTTAAGTGGAAATTTTTGTGTTTTAAGAGTGAAAATAATTCTTACAAGCAGCAAAAAAATGATAAAATTTTTTCCAAAGCAGTTTCTTTCCCAAAAACAAAGTTATGAAACTGCAAGTCTGTGCCCGATGAATTTTTGGTTAAAACATAATTGTTTTTCATTCAAGGGGTAGAGAATAGAGAAATTTTATGCAAGTAAGAGTAGCAATAAATTACTCATGTACTTCTATTACAGCGTAATAAAAGTATATTAAAAAAAAATCCTCAAATAAATGTAATTGAGTAAAAGTAACTAGTTACTGCCCAACTCTGCTCACAATGCATTGCCACATCATGTTTGTCCTTATCTGTCCAGAACATTTAGGAGACACCTGGACTTTATCTTTATTGTAAATTTTTGTAACTCTAAAAATGGCATAAAAGACACTTTCTGTTTGCTGGTTTTTGCCACGTTATTTTTGGAGGTCGCATCTGTTGTCGGGAGAAGCAATCAAGGAACATTTTCCCGTCCACTCTGCGCATTCCCGGCATGTTTTTAGTTCAAGTTTATGGTCTTAAATCCGTCGTATCCCACTGCAGATTGCAGTTATAGTTCCGGATGCATTAGTAGTAATAACAGTTGATGCTGGACGTCCTGCCGGAGTCTGCGGATGATGCCTTCGTGCCGAGTGACAGACAGGACCAGTCATTTAGAGGCTCACCGTGCCAGTGCCAGAGCTGCTGCACTGCGGTCCGTCTGGTTTGGCCGCTGCTTGCTGGACGCCACAGATATGCGCACGCCCCTGCAGAGCCACCATTAATCTTATTTGTTAGTGACTGAAAATGATCCGTGTGGTTTTCCATGCCGTGTGTAAGAGGTTTGTCTTCCCATGCTCGGGATACGGTGAGAGCTCCGGTCCAGCGGCTCCTTCCTCTCCTTCCTCTCCTCTCTGTTTACAGCCCAGCAACCTCAGGAATCGCATGTGGACATTATCTGGCAAGGGGGGGGGCAACAAATGCCTAATGCAAAAACAGCTTTATATGCACCGCAATGTGCCTTTTCACCACAGCATGCTTCAATAAGAGATTATTAAAACTTTAATTCCCTTATTTTCTGTCTGCTGTTGCTAAAAAACTCATGTGTTTGCATTTCACTCAGAAAATCTCACCAAGTATATCTGGTCTAGTCTCTAATACAAATCACTTAGCACACTTAAAAACAGACAAAACTAACTCATAAATAACTTTTTAGTAAAATATAGGAGCTTGTTTTAAGATTATTTATTGACTTGTTACATTTTCCCCATTTTATATGTGAAATAATCAGTCGGTGAAACTTTTGATTGATTTAAACGGACACCACAAATTATAGCTCACTTAAATAGACACAAGAAAAGACAAAATCTTACTAAAACTTTGTCTAAGAGTATGCAGTGTGTCTGATCTTAGCGTGTATATGTATTTAAGCAAATAATTTCTGGTATGTGTGTTTATTGTCAACCATTTGCTGCAAAAACAAAAGTATATTTCATTTAGTTTATGGCGCAAATATTAGGACACTTGAAATACTAACATATATATTGACAGCTATAAATCTTTAAATTGAAAGGACTCCCAATTTTACCAAGGCTGTCCAAATCTAGCTTACTTGGACTCCATGTAACGTTATGATGGCGTCCACACTGCATTAAAATGTGGCCTAAATCCATTTTCTTTCCCCTGATGTTGTTATTTTTTGTTCCTTATATAAATGGTTGTGATTTTGGTCCTTAAAATACCAACATTTCCACTTTACTTTACATTTTGGTCCATCTGGTGCTGTAATTTTAAAAAATGTTTCTTGATAAAGCCATGTGCCAAAAACATTTTTACTCCTATAACAAATATGTTGAAGCAGTGATTCTTTGACTTGAGCAAAACTTTTTGGTACTCTGCCCATCTCTGCCTGGTGCAGGTTAGCGGGTCATGGGGCCGTTAACCTTTTGAAAACCTCTCTTCTTAGACTCACTCGTGCTGTGACTCAACGCCCGCAGCTGAAGGTTTGGCCCGACCACCATCGCCCCCATGCAGCCGCAGATAAAGTGTTCAGTCTAACCTGTGTGCTCTCCATCAGTGACATGCTCTAATCTGATCTACGTCTCCAAAAACAGCTGTCCAATAGCAACATGTCATCAAAGAAGAATGATGCCTTCTTACCTAACAGGGCGTTAGGGGTTTGGATAACATACTTTTATAACAGTTAAAGGGGGCACTTTATCTGAATTGATCCCCATCTTTCAACAAGGTTGATGTCATAAAAACTTCTTCACCTCAGTGGAAAAGACATGCCGTCCATGTAATGTCTGCAGTTCTGATTTGGTAACCAGTTGATCACACCCTGGACTCTTTTATTGTCTTTTTAATGACCCACAATTAATCCAAATCAGGGTTTCTTTTCAGTCCACAAGACTCATTGATTAACTACAAATTTAAGAAAACAGCACTGAGGAATGTGGCTCTTAAGCTTGCAACTTGGAATTGAGTTGCACATAAACCAAAGAATTATGCTTTGAAGAGAAACTAAACTCCAAATCAACTCGTATGTTTCTGTGCAAACTGTGATATTTGTATGAATGCTTGATTCATTCTGCAGCATTTGTCTTAAACTTGTCATAATGCCGCCATCTTTGAGCCGATGGGCGTTCTTAGTGCCGTTCCAGTCAATTCTGAGGCTGTTTTCACACCTGTTGGCCCCGTAGACTTGGTTCAATAGGGAACAAAACTCCAACATTATTTTACATTTTAAGCTGCTGCAGTTCACTTTCACGCTGCACTGTGTTAAACAATCCAAACTAATTACTAAACTGTTTCCCTTCCTGCCTGTAGGGGCACTGCACCAAGAACAACTGAAGGAAATGACAAGAAAATCTCTAAAAAAGACACTGACATTATGTGAAGACGACTTTCTTCACATATGATCAACAGAATGCACTTCACTGTAGTCCATTTCCTGCTTTTGGAGCTGCCTTTGGTCCGCTATTTGATGCTTATGTCAACACATTGACATAGGCGTTCAAATCGCACTTCAACCAAACTGAGACCGAGGTTTTAAGACGAACCACAGTTCGCTTTTTTTAATCAATTGTGCATTCACACTTCCCCAAACAAACCAGACTTTCTAGAGTTCAATTAAAGCGGACTGAACAGGGCTGGTGTGAGTTCACCCTGAATCTTTTCTTTATGTTCCAGTGATATTGGTAGATAAATATCCAGTACTGAGCATTTAAATTCAGCTGATCAAGTTGTAAAACGTCCAAGGAAGCCCAGCCAATAGTATTGGATGCTTTTGGCAACTGCGGAGAAGAACCACTCCCTTTTAACCAGCAAAACTCCAGCAGAACCAACACCAGGCTCGGTTTTGATCAGCCATCTGCTTCGACTGGAATAGAGTTGAAAAACAAAAAGGAGAGACAGAAAACCCAAATGCACTGGGCTTTGAGTACTTTCTATGAGAAAGACAAACAGTTTTTGACCTGGAGACACACCTGAACACAGAATCCCCGGAACATGAGAAACAAAAATGAATCCAAAATAATCAAAATGGGACCAACAGAGACAGAAACAACCCTTCTAAACATGAGTGTTAGTAAAAAGGAACCTTATAGCCCCAAGTGGGGCATCAATAACATGAAAAAAGCATTTAAAATACTGATTAAACCTCTGTTCTGGGTGGTCTGATCCCAGAACACATCTCTTCTAATTATCCTTTTCTGATTCATCGAGTTTAAGAGGCAATTATTTCTTCTTCTGTGACATCTGATCATGTCTGCCTGCTCGTCCTACCTTTGCTGCCCCATTACTTCCCACCATCCAGGCCCAAACCTGGATCTCTGCATCCTCACTTCCAGTTTCAGTCCTTGTCGCGCTCCAAAAAGGCCTTGTATTTTTAGCCTGCTGGGCTGTGCCCCCTCTGTTTGCCTTGTGCGCTTTGTTGTTACAAGGGCCCACATGGGAGCTGTAATGATACAGTGTCTGTCTGGCTCCCAGTGCTCCGATAGAGGCTGTTTAAACAGTATCCTGAGCTGGGGATGGATCCCATGACAACTCCATAAATATTTACAAGCAGCAGCCATCCCGCTCTGCTTGAGGAGCACTTGTCTGCAGGCTATCTCTGCAGTGTTTTTCTTCTTCTTTTTGCCCTTTTGTTGTCTCTAACAACTGTAGGATGTGTTGTTTTGATGATTTTCTTTGGATGTTTTCGATATCTTTTTATTTTGGTTGTACTTGACTGTTTTAACAAGCCCTGCTTCTTCTGGCTTTTGCTCATCGCCTGAGTGGAATGTCGTGATGTTCTGGATGTCGGGTTCCTAGTGTGTTGAACCTCATGTGGAAAATTGCAAAACTCTGAACACGATTGTGAAAGAGTAAAATATGAAATATGCACAGTATCTTCCTTCTCAAGGTGTTTTTCTTTTTGTGTCATGCAAACATTTCTGCAGTTTTTGAGATTTACTTTGTCCTGCAAAAGTATTTATTCTTCAAGAATATTTTCACATTTTGCTACTACCAAAAAAGTTGGCAGAGCGTGTTTTATGTAATCGATCATTCTGATGATTAAATGATTTATCAGTTTTTAAAAATTAAATTGATTAAATTCTTCAGATTTTTCATTTAAACCACTTTTCATACACATTTTCTTACAACCAAGAAGTTGGCAAAGTGAGATTTTGGCACAGAGGTGCAACTAAAACTTTTCTTGCAATCAATTATTCTGATTAATTGATTAATCTGTTAAAAAATTGGCACATTGGCCAGATTTTTCATTTAACCACCTTTTTACACACTGATAGGAATACAATAAATGATGGAAATAAATAAATATTTCAATTATTTCTTTAAGATAAGAAAATAAAAATGTTATTTCCTAAAATGCAATACCATAACATTCCTTTAGTGTATGTTTGATGTATGTTATTGTCAAGTCATGTGAAGTCCAGATAAAATACATAGATCTTTATGGTAGAGATTTGACAAAATGTGGAAAGTTAATGGGGCGGAAATGATCTGAAATGAAAGTGTGATCAGGTAATCCTAAATTAATCAGATGCATATTTTTGACAGATGATGGGAAGATCTTCTATGGCATCGGAGTTGGAGACGCTTTTGGGCCCCGCTGCTTCAAAGGGGACATCATGGGGTGCGGCATCATGTTCCCACGTGATTACAGCCTGGACGGAGACGGTTCAGGTACCAGAAATTACTGTTTCACTTTTACTCTGAATCTGTCTGCTGCCGTTTTCTTTGGGGTGTAAAACGTTTTCACAAAGGTACATTAGCTGCTTTGAAGCCTTCAGAGTTGTGAGATTAGTCAATGTCTTTAATTTTCGTTGCAGTTTCTTTTCTTACTTAATCTCTGGTTTTACTGACTCTTGGTTATTTAACTCTCCCTCCATTTTTTGTTCAATTGACGTGGAAGACTTGGGTCAGCTTGAGGGCCAACCCAGTCAAGATGGCGTCCAGAACGTTATGTATCTTAATGGTGAAGACGAGGAAGAAGAGGAAGGGGACGAAGTCGCTCAGGAACAGCAGGGAAGGAAGGTGACGGTGAGTTTTTTATTTTTATTTTCTAATGTAAAATAAATACCATTTATAAAACACACCAAGCCAACTGCTCAAAAAATAAAAAACCTCACAAACTGCAACTTACGGATAATTTTTTTTGTCAGTTATTTAGTAGTTTTGTAAGCTTCTTTTGTTTCTTTTCTGCATGTTTTTTTTATTGTGCAATAAATACCCTTTAGAGAAGCTACACAAAACGCTCACAATCGGAAACTTCTACAGAAAAAAATTAATTGTAGTTTTTTGTCAATTTTATATAGAGCAGTTCTGTATGTTTATGTTTGCTTTTTTTCCATCAACTATCTCGTACTTATGTATTTTATTTGTCTGTTAATTAGTAGTTCTGTATGGTTTTTTTCTATTGCAAATTAAATACTATTTATAAAACTGACACAAAAAGTTCACAACCAATCAGCAACTTCTGGAGAAAGAAATTACTGATAGTTTTTTTCCATCAGTTATTGAGTAGTTCTGCGTATTTTTCTATTCTTACAGTTTAATTTATTCACAAATTAGTGCATATAAAACAAACAAATTTGCCTATGAAAAACATGTGTTGATCTATGAAATAAATAACCAATTAGGTAAGAGAATGACTAACAAAAATAAAATAAACACATTTAAAATAATTTAAAGAGGAGATAACTGTGAGTTTAACAGCATGACTTGTGATGAATACACAACAAATTAAAACGTTAATTTGCTGACCTAGATGATGATAATTATTAGGATTTCCAGCTGCTCTCCGAATTTTTTTGACAACAAAAAAACGACTTTTTATGTACTTTTCCCATAAGAAAGAGGATCAAAAAGCCAGCTCAATGTTGAAGTATTTAGATGTTAAAGTCCATAATAAGTCAAAGAGTCCAAGACTAAGCAAGTAATTCTTGTTGGAGTTGAAAAGGAAACTTGGCGGTACGTCTTTAAGCTTGCAAAGATACATCTGGACGACCCACATGTCTTCTGGAGCAACAATGTCCAGTGGATGGAAAAACAGGTAATAATTAACATGTTGCGATGGCCCAGTCAAAGTTCGTGCCTAATCATGATTGAAATGCTGAAGGTAATGTTTGCAAACCATAATGAACTGAAGTAATGCTATCTCCACAACAGTGTGGATGTTATGGAGACTTTATCAGAGTTCATCTCCCAAACTGGCTGCTGGTTGAGCAGGAAGGAACCTTGAAACTGGAGGCTGTTCCTCTCATTGTAGCGCCGCTAATTCTGAGAAACATAAGCAGCCACACGTTCTGAGAAGGAAATGTTCCTGAGGTGAAACACAGAACAATGGTGTGTCCAGGTAATAAAATCTGCTCTCTGAGGGCTTATATTTAATTAAAAAAAAAAACTGGTTTTATTTGATTTCAGTCAGCTTTCATGCCACAAATACAAACTCCGGCTTGAAAATGTGAAAAGATACAAATTCTAAGATGACTAAAATTATTTTTACCGGTTGACTGTGGTCTAAAATTTTCATACCCAAATATCCGGAGAAGGTCCATAGTTCAGCTTAATAATGAATTAAGCTAATTAATAGAAAAACAGTCTGAATTGCAACAAACACAAATTTTAGATCCACAGAAAGAGACAAAGATTGATGAGATCACAACTGGTTTTAGTTGAAAACATCAGTGCTTTGTCTACTCGTTTTTCTGCACAAGTGTTTGACTCCAATGTTGTTAGATTTGACAAGGGTGGGGAGAAACTTCACTCAGGCATGAATCTCTACAAGACAAAATGAAAAATCTGGGTTTGAGTCCATCAGAACCAGAACATCATCAGAGTCGATGGCTCAGACGACAGTGACGAACGGACCGTAATGGAGACGCTGGAATACAACCAGAGCTGAAAAATGCACTTTCTACTTGAGTAATTTTATTATGAAGTATCTCTACTCTTACTTAAGTTAATTTCTAGGTTTTCTACCCACTGAATAAAAAACATGTTTTAACCAAAAATCACAGACACACACCTGCAGGTTTTGTTAAAGTTTTTTTCTTAAAGAAAATAATTTGAAACATTTTCTTTTGCCTGATTTTGCTATTTTTTGTTACCTATATAAATTATTGTCATTTTAGTCCAAACTTCCACTGAACTTGAATAAACTTTTTACCAAATGGTTTTTTACTCTTGAGTAATTTTTTTGACGGCTACATTTTACTTGAGTAAAAATATGTCAAAGTCGTGCTACTCAAGCCTAACCTTTGGGTTCTCTGCCCTCTGAGTAGAACCGAACCGAACATTGACCGTTTAGATTGCGACCTGCCAGTGGGGGAATCGTCTCAAGGTGTTCACCAGAAAGGATTCACCGCTCTTTGAGCGAGTTCTGGGTCTTCTGAGTGCCAGGAAAACCTGGACAAACCTGTTCAGTGGACGAGCCAAACCACACTGGAAAGATGGCTGTGTAGGAAATGAGCAGTTTGTACTTTTTGAGTTACTGCAGGAAGTTCCAGTCTTTGCTGGCCCTTCTTCAAATTTAATTTATGTATTTTATTTGGGAAGCAATTTGTTCAGTTTTTTAAAAACTTTTGTCCTGTGGTAGAGCTTGAAAGTCGGGGACGATGAGCAGTTTGCTGCCTTTCTTTGGCGCCACCTGTTGACCATTTGCTGCATTGTCCCCGATCCAGGAACAGAGCCCTTTCTCCTGAGCGCAGCTTTAAAAACCTTCATGAGGCACCTTTAACCTGTCGCCTTCCTGGCACCACCGCAGAGCGCGCTGCTCAGCAGGACCGCACCAATTATTTCATACGAGTCTGGAGGCCAGGAACCGCCGCACAATGCCTACTTTCACATTTTTAATGCAACCTGGATCTTTGTTGGACTTACCAGTTAACCAGACCTGGCGCTCTGCAGGTTTCTTCACAGCAGGGATGTCCTAAGTGTGGCCCTGGGGCCATTTAAAGAGGATTTTGTTTGGCTCCTACGTCCACAATTCAAGAAATTAAATAAAATCTTTGTATGTTTATTTATTTAGACACAAGTATTTTTTTTTATTTTATTAACTATGTTTCTGTTTTCTTTGATTACACTTTGCTAAAACCACCAAGCGCCACTCAACTTTTGGCAACAACAGTTGGGCCAAAAGTTGGCCCAATACATTAATAATGCCCGGAAGTTTAGTAAAATATTTACCTGTCATTTAATACATCAGCTGTTTATACTTTGGATCAACAATGATTTACATATTAATTTTCTTCAAAAATTAGACAACTTTGCCTTCATAGTAGATTTTATTTATCATTATGCCCTTTATATCTTTAAAGCGCAGATGTTCTGACTTTATTTGTTTATTTGGAGAGGTTTGCATGAGACTGACATGACACCATGACAGCTGTCAATTGCCTGAAGAAGTCCTTGTGAATGATTGCTGCCAGGAAGCATCATGTGGTAATGACACTTTAATGAAAAGTTTATTTAAAACTTGCACTAAAAGTTACTCTAATATTGTCAGCTGTGATATTTTGGTAAATATTGCAACTTTTAATAATTAAGAATTTCATTAAAAGTTACATTAAAAATGTCAGCTTTGCATTATTTCATGAATGACACTTTTAATGGAATTTTTATTTCAAAGTTTTATTAAAAGTGTCATTATTTACCAAATTATTCTTAACAACAGTTAGAGCCATTCATGAAGACTGCTTCATGTTCATGCCCAGTGTTGTCTCACGTTTATGTCATGTCAGTCTCACACACACTCCTTCAAATAAAGTGCTACTTTACTTTACTTTGGCCCTAATGCTGCTGTGCAGTCAAATCCTCCTACGAACCCGGGGTTGCTGGAGTTTGGAGTGCAGAGGCTCTGACTTTGTCTAGACTCGTCTGCACGCTTGTGCAAGCGGAGACCGGGTGAGGGGGGGGTCAATGAGAGGCGGCGAGGCTGACCGAAACCCAGCTGGGTGAGAGAGCAGAACGGGCCGGGATATAATCCAGGGATTTGTCCTTATTTATTTAGCAGGACACATTAGTCCCGGTGCGGCGGCACGGCACGCACTGTTCTGCTGTTGTTCGAGCTAATGACCTCTGTTTCTCTGGCGTGCAATTAAACAAGTTGGAGTGGGTGGCACAGTTCATGTTTGATATGTGACTCAGTCTCGTTTGTCAAAGACGCACACTCGGCGGTACTCCACGTTGTTGTCTTAGTGCCGCTGTTTGGGACCAGACTTTAGAGAGAAGCCGGCCGTAGTAGTGCTGAAAAGCTGTGGCGATGTTCTTCAGGGAACAGCTGGATGATGTTTGATCAGTGGCTGATTTAGTAGAGACATGTTCTGTAAACATTGACTTTCTCCCCCTCAAGACGACAGAAGTTACACTCTCACCTATTTATTCAGCCATATTTCCTAATTGCACGTAATTCCTGGTTGGGACTGCTGAATCGAGCGCTCTCTGGCAAAAAGATTTTCTCTTTCTTTTTATCCCTTCAGGGGTTTTACATCAATGAAAGCTTGAGTTTGGGATGGAAATGAACATTTTCTTCCAATTATTTAAACAACTTAAGCAGTTATCCGTCTTTTCTTGGTATCAGTGTCCATCCATCCATCGATGTCCTGTCCATTTGACCTTCCAGTTATTCATGAGTCCATCATAAATCTGTTCTTCTGTTCATTTTTCCATTAATCCATCTGTTCAACCATTATCCATCCATCTTCCTGTCCATCTAACATCAGTGAATCAGCCTTGAATCTTCTGTTAACAACAGCCAAATAATGCAATATTTGTTCTTGTCAGCCCAAAATCTAGATTTACTAATTAAATCAAATCCTGTAGTCATTTATTTCTAATTCTGGGTAAAAAAAATAGGAATAATTCTACATCAAGGCAACCATAGTTTGATCGCTCGCTTATATAAATCTGCATATGTTTCAGGATGTTGTGCATCACTTCAAACAATCAGAACAAGTGCAAATATAACTATTTTATTAGAGCATGTCCAAAAAAGTTAGTTTTGTGCTTATATACACAAGACATCACGACCATTCAGTAAATAATAACATTTAAAGACCATTAATTTAAGAAACTTTATTAGAAAACGAAACATTGCATAGATTATTTACACACAGATGGGTATTTGAAAACCTTTATCGCTGTTGGCAATGATGACTTTACCTTTGCAGGTAATGACATGATATTAAAATTAGCATTAGCATCAGACCAACAAATAAATCTATTTTTAAAACTTGCTTAAAGGTTGGTATTTTTGAAAGGTACATTTAATCTGACAAACAAGTCATTGGGACTGATATTAACCTGCAAAAATGTTAGCTCTCTTGTTTTCATTACTGAAGATGGGTAGGCTAAGCTAACATTAGTGCCTCTCTGTTTTGATATGACTTGTTGATTATTTAGTTTCTCACAGGGCTAGCTAATCCTAAGCTAGACTGACAGTAGCTCCTCTTTTCTTCTTTCTGTTTTCATATTGTTAGTTGATTATTCATCTCTGAAGAGGGATAAGCTAGGCTGATGTTAGCTCATCTCCTTTCTATTTTGATATGACTTACTTAGCTTGTATCAAGCAAGCTAAGTGTTAAATTGAACCCGGTTCTCATGTGCAGATTGTTAACCTGTATTGTGGATTAATGGTTTTAACAGCATTTGGCCAGTGGTGGGCACTAATTTCCACCCCTGCTAGTGGTCTGTGTGTTTATTCTCACTGCTACGCCCTTGCTGTCCTCTAGGTGTTTTTCACCAGGAACGGGAAGCTGATGGGTCGACGGGAGATGGCTGTCCCCCCTGGTGGTCTGTATCCCACCGTGGGGATGCTGAGCAGCGGTGAGAAAGTCAAGGTGGACCTGCATCCTCTCAGCGGATGAAGCGAGAGGTTATAGGGCAGAGCACGCACCATCCAGCTGCACACACGCACGTCTTCCTCTGCACTGCACCAGATTTTATTTATAAAACTAGTAATCGCAGTAAGAACAAACCACAAGCTCTGGCAGCAACGATTACTTCTATGCAATCTGCTCTACTACCATCCTCCTCCTTCTGCATGCACTTTGTCTCTGAAACATTGAGCTGGTAAATGCTCTCATCTGGACTCGCTTTTTCCATTGGTCACGACCCCGAGCAAAGCGGAGAGAGGCCAACGTCAGTTTGTTTCAGGGAACAGGACTCCCTCCCTCTGGGCGATCAGGGACCTCACATGCTGCTCTCCCAGAGCCAGAAGTGGAGCTGCTCCGTTTCCTCATAGCTGCATCGTCCTCCTTAAATCAGTATTGTGAGACAAACCAAGCGTTCGGCGCGTCTGCTGAGACGAGCTCAATTTGCAGCCAAAATCCAGATAAAAACGGGTCAGCAAACATTTTATACATGTCATTTTTGAAAAACAAATATTTAAGTGAATTTATCTCATTCAGGGAATATTTGTGTGTTTTAGCACTATGATAGATAAACTTTGGCTTTATTTTCTGGATCCAAACTGTGAGCAAAGGTAGAAACTTTAACCCTCTCTAGGCAGGTGTTGCAGATTTGCAACAAGTTAGCCAGTCTTTTCAAGTAATTTGAGCCTGAGAGGGACCAGTCCACTATTGACTGGTCCCAATTTATGCAATCCACATAAAAAAGTGTAAATAAATGACCTAATGTTTGGAAAAAAAGATTTCAATCTGCTCAGTTTTATCTCCAACTGCAGTCCTGAGAATTGCTATCCACCAACCTCCAGATGACCATTCACCTCTGCAGGGACCTGATAACAACACATTCCTGGACTTCAGGTGTTTTGGAGAAGGAATGAATCTAAACGTTGCAGAATCGTAGCTCTCAGGACCGGATCTAGACACCCAGCTTAATGTGAAAAAGATGCTGCATGATGTTTGTTGTTGCATGGTTCCCTGCATTTCACTGAAGGGTGACAAGAACAATTCTGCATCACAGAGTTCAGGCTGATATTTCCCTTTAAATGCTGCCAGATTTCTGCATTGAGCTGTTGAGTCTGTTTTCGTTCTCAAATTATTAAAGTTTGACGAAACAAGACAGGTCAGCGATATTAAAGTTTATTAATTAACTAACAAGAGTCTCGGAAGAAAACTCCTGGTTACTCATCACCGGATTGGTCACACTCTGATGCCCAAAAGTATTAATAGCCTGGCATATATTGATGAAAAACTATTTTGAAGTGGCACAAGCATCTCTCAAAAAATAATAGGACAATGTATAAGTGTGTCATAAATATATATATTTATATTTTAAAGCTGCAATATGTAACTTGTTGAAACTGTTACTCTGTCGTAACAGTATCACATGAGATAGATAATCTGTGAAAAATCGATCTCATTTGCCTTGTCTCAGTGTTAACCAGAAACAACCAATCAGAGCCAGGAGGCGGGTCTCAGCGCTGTCAATCATCCTCCATGTGGCACTGCTAGAAGCTAGCAGAGCCCTTTGTGAATGCTAAAGCTAGTGAACGTGGCAGGTAAATGGTTTTTCTGTAATGGTGGGTTGGGTTTAGCAGTGATTACATGAAGTTGATTAGCAGAGCCAGGACCCTCCTCTTTGCTCTGATTGGTTGCTTTTGGTCAGGAGCGAATCATTTCTTAAACAGAAGCTTAAACCTAAATCACTTCACAAATTTAGCCAACAAAAATCAATCAGATCAATGGATAGTAAAGGCAGGGAGGCATCCTGGGTCGTAGGAAACAAGCAGCATCAGCAGCGTGAGGTGAACTGAAGACTGGCTTTCTGGTTCTGAGACATTTAAAAGAGGACACCGACTCTGCTGACCCGATTACGTCAGGCAGCTTCAGGCAAAGTTCAGCGGCTGCAGCCACAGTCGACCCGCTAGTCGGAGAACGGTGAACCGCACTCAAAAAATCAGTTCTGAGTGGAAAAAGTCTCCCATAATGTGGTGTTTAATTCTCAGGTTCTGCTGGGTCGAATCTGAACGCTGTGATGCGGAATCCAACATCAGCAAAAGCTTTGTGATGAGTCTGGTGGAGCTGGTTTCCACATAACTTTATAGAACCTGAAAATAATCGAATCTGTAAAATTATACCAACCTGGCCTGTCATAACAAATTTTACTGGACGATAAATTACCCAGAAGATATCGTAATAAACGATAATATTGTTGTTTTGAGACCATGTTCAAGTAATATTATGGTAATAATGGACTAATAATTCCAGAACCCATTTTAAAAAATAAATAAATCTAGTGAACATTTAACACTGGAACTGGGAGACATTTTACATTTCCAAAATAAAGAAAACAACAAAAACAACAAATAAAATGAATTATGAAGGTTCTGTTTTGGTCTCAATTATCCCTTTTTCTGAAGTTTTGTTTACAGACTTTTATCCTCCAGTTTACGGTAAATTAAAAAGTTTAATTTATAATGCGATAAAATGGTTTATTGCTTATTGTAACAGGCCTATTGTCTTCTCTAAACTCTAAACAGAGTTCATGACACAAACCAACACAAAACTGTGAAGTGGAAGTGAAATACAGTTTTTTAAATTCAGTTTTTACATGGAAAATGTTGGCATGTATTTGTATTAAACCCCTGTTGCTCTGATACCATGAAGAAGATCAAACAGTGTTCCTGTTTGCACTTCAAAACAAGCATTCAGATCAGAACTAAAATACAAATTTATAAAAATCAAAAGTATTTAAAAATCAAACACAGAAAAACTAATTTATCTCCATATTTACACATTTTTTAATTAAAATGAAATGTATATGCCAATAGTCTGACTGAGATGAGCAGAGCTAATAGAAACACATATGCATGCCACACTTTTCAGATTAAAAGTCACCAGAAATATAACCAAGGTTCCTTTTTCTTTCACTTTGCAGTTATGCACTTTGTTTAGGTTCATCCCATAAAATACCAATGAAAACATTTTATTTTGTAACGTCACGAAACGTACAAAACATTCATGGGGTGTGAATACTTTTGTAAAACGTGACGTAAAGCTTCTGCACAGCATAACTTTGAAATCACATCTGCTGGCATCTCAGTTTCTAGCTGCTATGTTTTTATTTTCTGGAAAAATAGAATATATTCAGCTTGAATCAAAAAAAAAAAAAAAACTGGAAATAAAAGAAAATGTTGCTCAGATTGGAGCCAAACATGATTTTAATTCATTTTCCAAATGCAGTCGTTCCTGTTGTAAAGTTCTGACTTGTTCAATTGCACTATGATATCCTGATTCACATGCTCATCAATAAATGTTTTATTAATGTTAAAGTATTTACTTTCTCTTTTGTGTGCTCAACTTGGTTATTTTAAAGAAATTTGCCTATTTTCCGGATTAAAATTTTTGTTCTTATTGGTTCCTCTAATGCAAGAGAGACCAGAAGAATCATTCCTGAAAACTAAAATCGCATAAATGTTGTTTTTTTTTAATGCTATTGAACAACAAAACCAGAAATGAAAGAACAGGATATTTTTTTTCTTGTTATATAAAAGCCGATTAAAGAAAACTGGAAGAAAAAAAAATTGTTGGCTGTTCTCAGCAATAAAAACAGGATCTGTGTCAGACTTGATCTGAAAACGCTTTGCTGTATTTAGCAACAATTAAAAGCAGATTTGGCTGCACCAACATGTACTTTAGAAAACGAGTCAAGGAGTAGGGGTGGTCCTGGTTACCATGACAACGGAAAGAAACAAGATGATCGCTTTGTGTCTCAGCTAACATTTTAGTAAGCAGATTTTGATTTAAAAGTTGTAATTTTGTCCGAATTTATTCTTGAATTGAGGTTGGGAGGCCCTAAAAATCAATCCAGGGGCTTCAAATGGCCCCCGCACCTCAAGTTGAAAACCGTTAAGTTATTAAAAAATCTGAGTTTCTAAAACTTTAGGAAGAAAGCGTTACCGTATACGCACTTTAAATGGATTAGCTGTATTCTGCCCCATTTTATTGTTTATAATGAGGCCAGAAAGGGGAATATTTAATATGGATGATTAATTGAAGCTGTTTTATGATGATGATGATGCAGAGGATTTATTGTCAAATACAGCTCAAAAAATTACAAATCATGATTTATTGCACCTAAAATTTTACTTTTCTTAATACAGTTTATGAACAAGAGATGTACAAGGTAACATGTGGAATGACTTTGGTCACGTCTTAGGTGAATTTTGGACTTTTAAAATATTATTTTTCTATTTTCACTGCATGTTTGTGCCGTAAAAATAGTTTTACTACCAATATGGAGCAAACCAAATATTCATATAACTGTATCTCTGACTGATCTGCACTGAACTCAGATTTTATTGATCTAAATTTGGTCGATGCTTTCAGAATTAAAGCAATAATTTGTGGCAACTACTGACACCTAGTGGTCAGTTAACATATAGCCATTCGTTGTATTTTTTAAAAACCGTTTTGGTTATTGGACTTAACTCAGTTTTTTTTTTATCCTTCTCAGCTAAGAAATTTATTTTAGGTTAAGAAAATGACTAACACAGAACTGTGTTGTGAAAAAGATCAACAAGAATCTGAGCAGAGAAGGTAATAAAGCAAAACACAAACTTACAAATAAATTAGGAAGGACAAATATGAACATCTCTTTTCATTATTGTTGATCCTGCCTCTGATTGGTTGGGACAACACCATTATCAAAGAAAGGTAAGAGCAAATATTACTTCTGTATCAGGTTTGGTGAGGAACTGATTTTAATCAAAGTTTTTGATTAAAATTCCTTGTGTTTCCATTGTTTAGTGATGTAATCACACCAAGGTATGTGATTAATATTTGATTATTTTTTATTAAACATTTGTTTGAATATATTTTTCAATATTAGAAATGTATTTAATGTATTAAATATATAATTTAATACACATTTTAATAAAATATTAAATATTTTTTCACTTCAAGTGTAGTCAGTAAAGAATCACTGTTTATTTAAAAAGTTGAATGTATAATTTGTTTTTCAGCTTCAAAGTATTTACAGATTTTTAGCCAAGAGAGCCACATAAAAACTTATGGCAGGCTAGATTTGGCCCACAGACCCCGACTTGCTTTAACTTCCTCACTATATTCTCAATTCCTGAAAAACTGAACTTTGGATTTTCAGGAATCTCTTCCAAAACAATCAAAGCTGCTTGTGTACTTTTTTCCTTCCACCCAACTTTCTTTTAAAACGGCTTCTTTTAAAGAAAACATACTTTTTGTGAACAAGTCAGCAGTTCTGCCCATCATAATCCTTGTTAATTTTTTTTTTAGAAAAACTAGGGTTTTATTGAACAATGAATTAACTGAGTAAGAATAAACTGCTGCATTTGTAACTGCATAGTTTGTACAACAGAGGGCGCTGAAAGAGTAGAAAACCATCCAAACAATTTGTTTCTCATCTTCAGTCACAAAGCTCATTACCTTTTATCTGCAGAGAAAAAATGTTAAGCATTTAGGAGCCAAACTGTCCAAAATACTCAAGTTCAGCAAAATTAAAGTTGCGATTTGTGAAAAAGTTTTGACTTTTTAATCAGAACTCGGACACGATGACTTCGTATATAACAATTTATTTAAACAGCAACAGTTGGAGATTTTCTAACCCCGGCTTTAAAAAACAAACCATCATCGTTACATCCAGTTATAAATTTTTAAAAATAGAAACAAAAGATTCAAAGTGACAAAAGACGAAGACGAATTCAGAAAGCTGAGTCTGAGAATCCAACCGACCCGCCACAATAAGAACTGATACACTGCATACACATAAAATCTTTAAAGTGTTTTTGGTCTAATTTCTAAAAAAAAAAAAAATGTTTGTATGTTTGAAATAAAAAACAATATAAAGGTAACCTTTAAGGAAGATTTGACGTTATTTTAAGTAACTAATTTCTTAATATTGGTTAAAAAACAACTAGTTCCAAATATGTGTGAAAAATTTCAAAAGTAAAATGTACTATTTTAGGAATTATTGACTTAAAATAATCTCCATCTTGCTGAAAAGTTACTATTGAGTTAGTTTTGTTTTATTTCAAGTATACTGAGATATTTCCATTTGAAACAAGACCAAAAATACTTGGTGATATTTTGTTTTTGCAGTGCGCTTCAAGCAGATTACTGAATATTTTAGTGAAATAGAAACAAGTCGTCCCAAAAATTTAAAAATGATTCACCAAATTTGAAGAAATGCTTTAAAACGAGAAGTTTATCTCTAGTGGAAGTGGTTCAGACTGTTCAGCGAGGCACACGATGAGTAGAAGACAAAGAAATCACTTTATACATCCTCCACCTCATCTTCCTCCTCCTCCTCCTCGCCGTAGTATCTGTTCCTCTTGATCATCTCCTCCACGCTCAGCGCCTCCTTTTCCTCGCCTTTTTCCTCAACTTCATCGCTGTCCCAGAATCCCACGTCCTGAGACGACCGGCTGGCCTCCACTTCCTCTTCGGGGGAGGAGACGGCCGTCACTTCCTCTTCCTCCTCCTCCATCTTCTGTGGCTCCTCTTCCTCCGCTGCGTCGCTCTTCATCTCCTCGCCAGAGCTGCTCTGGACGTCCACGCAGCTGTCTTCAGGGCTGTCCTCAACGGCGGCGGGACTCTGGCTGCGATTGTCGCGTGAGAATGCAGCGCTGCGCTCCTTCAGGGAGGAGCTCTGCAGCAGCGAAGGAGAACCTCGACTCTCCTCTTCCTCCTTTTCCTCCTCCTCTGGCGGCCATTTTGCTTTGATTGGCTTCAAGGCGGCGGCGTCAGCGACGGCCTCGCTGCGGCCCGGCGCTTCCTCCGGCTCCGTTTTGGGAGGCCAGGAGATCTTGAGGCGGCGCGTTTCCGCGGGTTTGTCCGTCTTCTCGGGCGTCGCCTGACCCAAAGCCTCCATGGTGGCGGTCAGAACCAGAACCTTGGCCAGCGGGGAGTCCTCCACGCTGGGGCTGGACTGGTCCGACGGCGGGCTCTGCGCCTTCGGCTTGGTCCCGGGGCTGGACCGGTCCACGGCCTCGTCCGCCTCGCCTTTGCTCTCCCAGAGCTCCTTGTGCGGCCGGTGGCCGAAGCCCTCGTCGTAGTTTCCTTTGGCCTTGAACAGCTGGCAGAAGTGAGGCTTGCAGTAGATGTTGTTGTGCAGCGAGGCGTAGTTCACCAAACTGGCAGAAAAGAGACAAAAATTAAAGGAAAAAATTAGAAAATAAAAAAACTAAAAATTTTCAGATTTGACATTTTCTAGAAAAAAACAAGATGATTTCAGAGTTTGAAAAATCTAAAGTTTTCTATAAAAAAAGAAAACTTGGACATTTCTAAAATTAATCTCAAAGTTTATAGATATTTTTTTTCCTCTGGCCAATTTTTTACTTTTGGAGCTCAGACATTTTTTCTTTTTTTTGCTTTGTGTTTTTTTAATTTTCAAACTTTCAAACTCAAAACTTCCCTTTTTCTGAGCTGAATCTCAAAATGTTTGGGTTTTTGTCTTGTGAATTTTCAACCTTTGGACCTCAGAATTATTTTCAATCTCAATTTCAGTTTTTGTAGGAAATTTTACTTTTCAAACTCAGAAATGTCAGAAAATTTTGGAGCAAGAAAATTTGAGTTTGATTTGACAAAATTGAGATCTCAAAATTTCTGGAATAAAGTAGAACATTTTTGAGTTCAAAAAGTTTAACAAATTCGAGGAAGTCTTTGTCTTTGTGTCATTTCATGGTTCTTGGTGCAGCGCCCCCCGCAGGTGTGGAGGGGATCAGGTTTGACATGATGCAGAGTGAAAATGTTGCCATTTTGCTTCCCAGCCAGTCCGAGTCCATCAGGTGTAGTTTTGCCCTACAAACTCTACCTCCAGGTCCTAATGTGGCAGTTTCTTTAAAATTTGAACTTTCTAGGTTACGACTGTATCGTAGTTACAGAAAACCTTGTGATTCATCAGCCTCACCTCAGCTTGGTGTTGCAGTGCGAGCAGCGGAAGCACGAGCTGTGGTACACGTCCTTGTTGGCCACCAGCCTCTCCAGAGGATAAACCGTCTTCTGACACGACACACAGGTTTCTCTCACAGGCAGGTGGAAGCTCTGCACACAGAAAACATCCAGTCGGCTGCCATTTTGCTTTGATTGGCTTCCTTCACGTTGGACTTATTTGCCCGACGTTCCCTGAGTGGACTCACCTTGGGGGGTTTTGAGTGAGAAGAGTCTTTCTGACCGGAGGATGGAGTCCCTGGACCGGAGCCTGAGGGGACACACATTTACCAATGAGATAATTCAGAATGACCACCAGGGGGCGTGATTTTCACACAGTTTCCATGTCGCAACAGTTTCAAAACAA